GTAGTATTACTGTCTATCTTTCAAAGCTTTGGGCAGACAACATCTTAAAGCATGGAGCATAATTTTATTCTGATATTAAGTGCCAGTTATTACCAGTTTTCACACAAAATGGTTTTTACCCCCCTACTGCAGTTAAAGGACCATTGCTGGTCAGCTGGAGAGGGAAATGTTTGGTTTGCCATTCAAGAAGTTAGTAATGCAGAGTAAATAAAAATGGTAGCCACATAAATCTGCATGACATTGCATCCAAGCAAAGGACAATAGGGTAACGTAAAGAGGCATGTGCACTTAATCAAACCCTGTTTTACTCTTTGGAGTTACATGAGACAGCAGTACTAGCTAGCTAGTGTCTAATATTAAGCTTAGCCATTCTGATTCTTGATCCTTCTTAGGTAACCAAACATTCCCCTCCCCTCTGGAAGCTTTGGGGGTATTCTCTTTGTCCCCTTATACTGCATTTTACAGTGATGAGCCTTAGTGTAGGTGAGTATCAAATGAAATAATGATTGTGAAAGGGCAAACAGGATGGCTAGAAAAGGAGGGTGCTCCTAGAGGGCAAGCCTGGGAGGGCGAGTTGCGGGAGAGCTGGGAACAGGAAGAGAAGATTACGTGACGGTCTGGAAGCAGAAAGTCAGGACAGTTAAAGGTGAAGATCCTGTCGCACTTGCCCAAGCTGGAGATGTCCAAATGCCTGACCTTGGAGCTACCAGTCTAGCAAAATCTCCTCACTCTCACTCAGTGGCCAAAGTCAAGGGACACATTATGCATCAGTTCACTTTCACCCAGGAGAGCCACAAACCAGTGTTGTTCTTGAACTAACCCAGTGACTCAGAAAGGTTGTTTAACTCCTGAATCTGGAACCTTCTTTGGTCTTAGTGTAGCACTGTCTGGGTAGTTTTTAAAGTGAACTTGGATAGATTACATGCCATAAGTCAGATCATAGATGTGAAAAGTACCACGGCTTCTAATTGGTTCATTTTGGTGTGACCCTTGCTGAGTATTTGCCTTTCCACCCCAGATATACTTAATCAGAATCTACATTTTAACAAGATTCCCAGGTGATTCTTACGTATAATAAATTTTGAGAACCACTACTCTCCTAGTGGCTCTCAGAATTGGTCCCTAACCAGCAGTATTAGCATTGCTGGGAACTTGTTAGAAATGCACATTCTCTGCAGGGGTCCAAACCTCAGTGGTTGAAGCCCTGGAAAATACTTTATAAACTGTTAAACACTGTACAAATTAAGTTGTTAGAGTGCTGTTGTTTGAAGACACCAAACTTTGCAATTATGTGGAAAACACAGATTGAAAAGTATAAAATATAAATCAACACTGTATATAAACTGCTGTGGGACAACCAGTGTTTTCAACTTTTCTAAAGTGTTTGCGTTAAATTCCGTAACATCCCATGTTGAAGTTTATAGTAATTTTCCGTTCCCTTTCTCATGAATGAGTGCATCCTGCAGTTAGCTCTTTGTGTTTGCTCCTGAATTAGAAGGCTTATTCTGGTTTGTTTGTTTTTTCCCTCTGCCTTCCCTTTTTCCTTATGATCATGTGCACACAGGATTTAATTTTCTGGCTAAGGCAGATGTTTCAGAAAAATGAGCTCTGGTTCCCTGTAGATGATTTCCATGTTGACGGTGAGAAATCACTGTGCTGGTTGTAAACAACTGCCAAATAAGTCTTTGGAAACATAATGCAACGTAACTGCTACCCAGCAAGGTTGAGGACCTTTAAGAGTCTGTGTTTAGGAATACCTTGCTTACTTATGCAGTCGCTCTGGCAGATTTCCTTCTGTCATTGTTATGCTGCCAATGGATGTGGTAAAAATAAAAAACTGGTGTCCTCCCTTCTGTAAATCAAAACCAAACCAGTTGCCATCGAGTCAGTTCTGACTCACAGTGACCCCATGTGTGCCAGAGTAGAACTGTGCTCCACAGAGTTTTAAATGGCTGATTTTTTGAAGTATGGAATTATTATTATAATGAAGCAGAATTGGGAGTAGATATTGATTTCTTTTGTCCTTTCTAAAATAAGGTATGTTTCACACTAGGTATCCTATTCAGATCTACAATGAATTAAATAGGTTATGTTTTAAATGAAATTCTTTTTGAACTATAAGTGAGTTTTTCCATCTATTCTTTACTCTTCACAGTTCTACTTAGCTTTCTAAGAAGATTAGACTGCTGCTAACCAAAAGGTCAGCAGTTCAAATCCACCAGCCGCTACTTGGAAACCCTATGGGGTGGTTCTACTCTGTCCTGTAGGGTCGCTATGAGTTGGGATCGACTTGACAGCAACAGGTTATGGGTTAATGTCCGTACCAGGTTAGAAAATTGCAAAAACTTTTAAAGGATATTAAGCAAGAATTTTTTTTAATATACTTAGGAGCAAAGAAGGGATTTTTATTGACTGTTGCCAAGATGGAAATGAGTGGGGAAATAATTTGTTAAAGAATCTTCAAGGGACAAGGGCTGGAGTGGGAGTTGATGGGAGATGGGATAGAGAGAGAAAGCAGCCTACGCACAATTGATCACAGGTATTTATGGAGTTCCTGGTAGTGTGATGAGTTACAAAGTGTATAAACCTCCATCTTACCTTTTAGGAGTTGCAAATCTAGTTGAAAGGAGAAAATTTATACATGTGAAACTGAACAATTAAGTACTATTAACATAACACTCCCTAGGTGCAATAGCTTAGAGAAGGGAAGAGGTGAGTGAAGAATGGAATGGTTTTTGAAGAATGGTTAAGATTTAAATAAAGAAGAGGGGGGAAAAAAAAGACACATTCCAGATGACAGCATAATATGTCAAAATGGATTTGAAAGCTGAAGTAAACAATTTTTAAAATGCACACATACTTTAAAAAGCCTAAACACATATACATACAGACAAAGCCATGGACAAAAATTAAGCTCAGCAAAAAGTGACACACATACACACATACACAAAGGCATTATAATAAAGTTCTTACAAAAGATATATACCCTGATAGAAAAATATGCAAAGCACTTTAGCAGAAAAATTACAAAATAAGAAATATGAATGACCAGTAAACATATATCAAGTGTATTCAGCCTCAGTAAAAATCAAAGGTATATAAATGTCAACAATAAAATGCAAGTTTTATCTTATGAGATTGACAATGGTTTAAAAAATAATACTCATGTATGTGGAGAAACAGGCGCTTACGCACGACTGGTGGGAATTTTTCTTCTGGCAGTGTGGCAGTAACTCTAGAGCCTTAAAAAACTAACATTTTTTATGTAGCCTTCATGTAGTTCTATCCTAAGAAAATCATTAAAGAAGATGAACATAAGTTCATCCGACCTTTATAAATGCAGAAATATTGGAAATACCCTAAAAGACAATGTGGCTGTATTAACATAGAAATGAGAAAAAGCAAATGCTGGAGCATCTTGCACCATACGATCCTAGTACTATAAGAATGGGTACTTGGGGAATGTCCACATATATGTATGTATCTGCATACACATTCAGGAAGTTGGAAGGTTATATGTATTACATTGTTAATTGTTCTTAACTCTCTGTGGTTGAACAGCTGGTGACTTGTTTTCTCCTTTGTGCTTATCAATACAATGAACATGTATTGTTCTTTTGAAATACAATTTTTTTTAATTTCTTTTTTTTATTGTACTTCAGGTGAAGGCTTACAGAACAGATAGTTTCTCATGAAACAGAAGTACACATGTTATTTTATGACATTGGTTAACAACCCCACAACATATCAACCCTCTAACTTCTCAACCTCTTTTTTTTTTGGTGAAAATACACATAGCCAAAGA